GATCTAGCTTCAATTGACTCACGCTTGCAACTATGAAAATAAATTTTGTCGGACTATTCCGACATCGTTGAACGTGGAATTGTACCTTATGAATAAAGGCAGATCGATTTTATTTGACCGCCATATTGTCATTTAATAGATATGAAGATCAATATAGATAAACATTGTCTTGTTCACCACATAGAAGTGAGAGTGAATGTGTTCCCTTATCTAGATATAAGTGCTCAAAGACTGTAATGAAAAGAAGACGAGACGTTTTACTGAAAGTGAAATGTTATACATTGTAAGGATTTCACGTTCCATACAGAGATTTGTAATTACCACAGCGATCACTGAAACTGAAAGCTAATAAAAGTGTTATTACCCAAGAAGATCAGTATCTATTTTGAATGAGCACCGTCTTTCTGTTCATAGTTTGCTTAGCTTTCTCCAATCCTCTTTCAACATAGACCTACGGATCACAAGGACTCCTTTTCAAATTCAAGTCTATCAACGTTGGCGAACATACCGTGTTACTGAAGTATCATGGATATCTGTCATCTATTATTTGCTTGTTAGGTGGTCGAAAATTTCCGCAAGATCTGATTTCTACGTTCTTTTACACGGTCATGTTCAATGGAGTGAACGATTGACTTTAAAAAATCTTCTGATTCCTTAGCTTTATTAGTTTTTCAAATTTTTTTGTGATACTTTTACGCCTCTTGGATCACACCTTCGTGACTTTGCATTAGCTGGTGAACCTTTAGTTACCATGTGATATCGAACAGTGTATTTGAGATCTGCATAATTGTACGATATCTTAGTCAGCTTATTCAAACTCTGTTACCACGGATTTATTTGTATGGTATTGAATTTACTATATTAAATTCATAAAAACGGACTGTCCACTACCCCTCTTCCTTCTGTCGAGCGATAACTTTCTGTGTGTTAATTTCGTTATATATCAGCTGGAACATTCAAAGTCTAAACCATTTGGTCTTTCATCACTTACGGGAGGTGCAAAAGAATCCCGTAAAAATCGACATAATTTGATCGAAAATTCAGTTCTGATTACGAACAATGAGATAATTCAAAACTCTTACTAGTAATGAATACTATTATTATTATTATTTGCCCTGGAACAAGTATACTGTAGTCAGTATTTTTTCACCATCTTCATAATTAAGTGTCGGTACTGGCAAATAATGATTGTTAATTACGAAACAGTTGAACTATTCTATTACTCGTTCGATTAGTGAAACTTGGACACGACACTTCAATATTTATCTATCAATATCAAAAGTAAGCGATAGTCTAGTAAAACTTGATATATATGCAAAACAATTGGGAATAGTACAGCTCAGTACGAAGACATGACCTCGAGTACACAGAAAATTTAATTACTAAGCTTAACCAATCAGAATGGAGCAAAGGTCTTGCTCAAAGTTTAATCAGTGAAAAAAACATTTGCGATGATCGTTATTGTTATATCTTGTTAACTTGTATCCCAACCAATATATGACGTGACGACGTCACCAATCAGAGAACAGTGGACTGTCTACCGGACCAATTATGAGTAAACTCGTACGAGCAGTCTGAAGTCTATATCGGTCCTTGCTTCCATCCCATTTCTTCCTTCAAAGTCTGAAACAACAGATGAATAGCGAATGGAGAGAGGTGAAAAGGGTTGCTCAGGACAGTATTGAATGGAAAGTGGTGGTTAGCGGCTCAAGCTCCTCCGCGAAAAATAACAGGCGTAAGTAATTAAGTGCATACTGTTTGTCTTATAATTTGCCCATAATCAAATGTTATCATTAGCACTGTTGATAGCTATTTGTCACATTCACAACCATGGAAAGAATTTCGAAAATTTGAAAATGAAATTTTCCTTAGATAGTTTTTCTCTCATTAGCTTGATGATGCAACAATTTTGAAAATGAATGCGTTTGTGAAATCAGTGCGATTATCCCGATTGAATACAAAATAACACCAAGTTCTATCGTTTCTGTTAAACAAACGGAAGCTAGACCACCAGGAAAAACCTGGAAGCATTGGACGGCCGTTTCGTCCTATTATGGGACTCCTCAGCAGTGCGCATCCACGATCTCGCACTCGCGAGATTCGAACAAAGGACCTACTAGTCTCGCGCTCTGGCCATGTGCTTACAGGTTTTCCATGGCGGTCTAGCTTCAATTAACTCACGCTTTCAACTACTAAATCTCCACAAAAACCCCCTTCTATATTTTCTGTTAAATCTTGTAAAAATGTCAAGGTGAAAATTATTACTTCTTCAATCTGAGTAATAGATATCTGACCATTTTCTTAACAAAAACAAACTTCTGTTGACCTCAGTTCTTTACAGTAATATCAATGATTATTATACTTTGTTGTTGTCTATCACCGCATTCCATCTCATTAACTAAAAATATGTTATTGTTTGTTATGTAGAATGGACGTACTATGAAGGTGGGTTAGAATAAGAAACATCACTTTCTAATAATACGTTGTGCCTATTTGGCTGACATTCACCAACACACACAGAGCAAGTATGAGCGAAATTCTCATTATACAAAAGATGACCACTTTTCTAAAAACAAACCTTTTGACTGTCGATCAATAGAATGTCTTGCTTCAGCTATGAATGAATAATGTAACAATTTACCATCTAATTTCACATGCGTTTCGAGGGTGTTTTTCATCGAAGCATCTAGTTCACACGTCCTTAGTTTTTCAACCTATGGAACTCTCATTACTGATCCCTAGTCTTTGAGACTCGATTAGTTGTAACTTTCTGTGTATATTTGTCTATGTGACTGTGGTGAATCATCCTGACTGTAGTAGTTTGTGGATGATATCGAATGTCGACCACCGCAGGTATCTAGATGAGGTATCCTTCTTTATAGAACTTTGGCACTTGTTTTTTTCCCAAATCGTCTTGAATCGAAGGTGAAGCATGTTCGCAGTTACTTCAATGTCTGACTTAGGTGTTTCAGCTGGTATCTTGTCAGGTGCTGCTGCTTTCCCATTCCTGATTTGTCTGAAGAACATCTTGATTTCTTCGACCGTTGGTGTAGTGACATCTATATGAAGGTTTGTGTGTGCTGCTTCGACGTCAGCTGGATTCAATAGGGCTGATCTATTCAGCTGGTCCTCGAAGTATTCTACCCATCTCTTCCTCTATTCTTCAATCTCCGTGATTTCCTTTCCTTCTTTGTCATTGACTGGTCTCTCCGATTTACTATATCTCTCATAGTTTCTTAGTTGTATCATATTCTCTTTCCTTGCAGCTTTTTCTGCCGTTGTTGCTTGTTCTCCTATGTATTTTTGCCTGTCGACTTTAGTACTCTTCTACACTCACTTGTTTGCTTCCGTGTATTCTGCTTGTGCCTTGATTTTCTCTGCTCGTGCTCGACTGTTGTTAATCGCCGTTTTCTTGTTCTCCTTTCTGTGTTTTACCAACTAGTGTTACCTACGGACACTCTGGGAGGAGCTATGTGGAGAAAGGCTGAATAAACCCAATTTTCACAATCTGTACATTTATCACTGAACGATTGTACTGGTTGTTTAGGTGTATGACCTTGAACGCCTACTTCCTTCCTTCCTTCCTTCCGTTTTTGAATCCAACATAGCACGGCATTGTTAACTGCTCACACTCTTATACACACGCCTCTCGTTCTACAATGCTTGTGGATATGATAACTGAACTATTAATTAACTATCATCTCTATTTATAGACTGTTGTAACATTCACATTACGTTCAACGTTCGGTTATACTACTGGAGCTATATTAACCTCACGGGAATTATTATTTACCTATAAGTGTGAATTGTGGTACCAAACTCAACTGAGCACTCACCAGTCAGCTGATTTAAGAAACGTCCCTTGACTTTTATTAGTGTTCATAACTTATAAGTTGTATATTGCTTTTGAAACTGTATGCGTTTGTGAAATCAGTCCGATTATCCCGATTGAATACAAAATAACACCAAGTTCTATCGTTTCTGTTAAACAAACGGAAGCTAGACCACCAGGAAAAACCTGGAAGCATTGGACGGCCGTTTCGTCCTATTATGGGACTCCTCAGCAGTGCGCATCCACGATCTCGTACTCGCGAGATTCGAACAAAGGACCTACTAGTCTCGCGCTCTGGCCGTCCAGTGCTTACAGGTTTTCCATGGCGTAGGCTAGCATTGAGATCTGTTTTTTCTTTTAAAGAAAAAAACACTTTCCAAAAACAACTACACAAAGTTTTACCAACAACCAACACGTACACACAAACACACATATACACTGCACTCATAGCCTTCTATAAATAAAATACTGAATACAATGAAAAATAAGCTGGAATGTGTGTGTGTGTGCATATATCCTGGAAGATTGGTAACTAGTGGGTAAATAGATGTATATTAATATATGGTAGTCAGTGTAAAACATAACAAAGCAGCCAAAGTTCTTTCACACAGCATAAATATAGTACTAATAATAACAGTAATAGTAGTGTTAAATATGATCTTTGAAAAAGAGACGAACAGTCTAAGGATATGTTGTCGATTACATCATCATCATCATCGTTACTACGACAGATGAAACAACAGTGTAATGTATACTAATATTACTGTTGCTATATCTACTAATAATAAGGCACATTCATCAAATAAGCAGTAAATACATAGATGAGAAACTCCGCCTGCAGCACTTTTAGAATTACTGCCGGTCCCAACCCGGGTAAAGGTGGAAGGTTGGGCATGGGGTTAACGATCCCATCCTGAAGAAAAACTAACTCGTTAAAAGAACACTAACCAGAAAAAATAATTCAGACCATTTAAACTCTGCCCTGGGAGTTGAAGGAATAAGCAGATATGAAAAAGATGAATAACAACTGGAAAGAACTGGAAAAAATATTGCCCAGGACAGAGTTGGGTGAAGAATGCTGGTGGGCGGTCTATGCTCTTCCCCGAGGGCTAACAGGCGTAAGTAAGTAAGTAGGTAAGTAACATAGATAAGAGGGAAGGAAGTAGACAAAGTTAGAATGAACAAGAAAATCGGAAACAAAGCCTGAACAATGTGATTATTACTGTATTGCATTGTAATTTCTTCTTGTTACTGTATACCATAGGGACTGTTGTATATGAAATAAAAGTGACTAAAAGTTAAAATGTGTTGACAGTAAACAAAAGTGGTCGGTTGAAGCTGAACAAGTAACCAAGAGTTTAAAAAAACAAGATCGATATCAACATATGGAAGACATTTCCTTCCTGGATAGTGTTAAATTAATTGGTTGATAAAGAAGTACATCAAAATGCATAAAGACTAGGGGGAATACAAATGGAGAGAATACAAACAAACTACAGCTGTATTTATTTGGTTTATTTTTAGGAGTAATTTGGAAAGCATCCGAACACATATAGGGATAAGGGAAAATCAACACTTCATTGGTGTTGTTGTTGTTGTGGTGGTGGTGGTGATGACTTGATTTCTTTGTCCAAACAACTGATTTATTCATTTCTCTCAGTCAATGTATCGTATTTATTGATTATTCAGAGATTGGATTTTTAGAATTCCCTGATGATGTCGCTGAAAAATTGAGATCAGTATTTATTAGAAATGGCATCATTTAAACTTGGCACAGTAATTAATGAAAGTTATTCAGTTTAAAATGGATTGAGATTTACGATTTGGAAGAAGACTGACATTATTGTTACGTTCTGTAGTTATTTGATTATTGTACTACTTAAACGAATCGTATAGATGAGTATCTAACTTTTCCAATAACATTTTCTTAGTTATTCTTAGTCTGTTTATTCACGTATCAGTTCGGATTCCAGTATAGGATGTATGTATATAGATATCTGATAAGAAGAAAGCAGAATGTAACAATAAGCTTGGTTGAAACAAATAGATTGTCACTAACAGTGAAATCCAAGACATGCGTTTCGTCCTACTTGGGACTCATCAGCTTTATGCAACTGTTGGGAGTACCAACAACAAAATAGTCTAAATCATTTCAGAAAGGGGTTTTGTGGAGATTTTAATAATTTTATATAGTTGAGATCATGAGAAAATTGAAACTAGACCACGATGAAAAACCTGGAAGCACTGGACGACCGTCTATCGGTTAGGTGCTCTGGCGGGAGACTGGTAGGTCCTGAGTTCGAATCTCACAAGTCGGGATCGTGGATGCGCACTGCTGAGGAGTCCCACAATAGGACAAAACGGCCATCCAGTGCTTCCAGGTTTTCCATGGTTGTCTAGCTTTAATTGACTCATGATCTCAACTATATAAATCATTTCAAATTGAGTCAGTAACTCTAGGCTTTTACTAAAATTCCGGTTGGATTTTTTGACAAGTTAGAAGAATAGCACTGAAGAGACTGTGGTTTAAATTTTGATACATTTTCTCTCGTATTACTTAAACCAGTAATTCAATAATATCGACAGTTCTATAAACTAATTCTTTCTACTTACATCAAATCTTTTTTTTACTACCATCGAAGTAAGTGCTTCTATGAATTCGGTGTTCATCTTATTGTGCTAATCAGGTATAGCAATTTGGACCGATGCATATATATGCCTGGTCCTACGTTGTAGCTGACTAACGGGCAGAAAGGATTGGTTGATATTTTTTTATTATTTTTAGCAGTTTGTGTAACAGCTCAGTGGTTTAAAGGTTTATTGCTCAGTATAAGACATGAATGTACTGAGTTTGATACCAAGTGGGGTCTGCAAGGCCTTTACTATTTTCAGGCAATACTGCACGTTCGGTATACTATATTTTATGTACTTCCCACTTCAAAAGCATCTAAAACCATGTGATACTTCCAATTTAAACTCTATAAAGTTTCCTTAGGCAAATCTCTCGGGTAAATGGATAAAGTTAAATGAATTATAAAAAGCTCAGAAGTCACTAACTTCGCAAGAATGATAGTGTATATATATAGTGGATGAAGATAATGAGTTACAGTATTATCTTTCTGTAACCGCTAGTCAAAGGAACTTAATGACTCGTTAGAAGGAACAGGGTTCGAATTCGGAATTGTAAAAGTTATAAATCTTGGATATTCTAAACAAGCAGAATCTCCAGCATTGTTGTTTGTCTACAACATAAGTAGAGAGGTAGCAAAAGTTGACCCTGAAATAGCACACCTTACGTTTTCTAGTGGAGTTCTCTCACCGCATGCAAGGCCTTTTGAAGTACAGATCTAACTCATTCAAAACTACTCACGAAAAGTCATAATCGTTTCTTGAGATCTGTAGTTACGCTGTCACGTAGCTAAAATAACCATTAATCCAGTATCTTTTAAAAGAACTTTAAGAAAAAAGGAATTTCATCTCCCTGTGCTAAAATGGCATGTCAACTTAAACTGGTGTACATACGTATCAGGTTATATGTTCCATTTGACTGACTGACTAACTGACCTTAAGAAGAACTACCCTTCCAAGACGTGGAGAACTGGGAAGTGAAAACTACCTTCATACATCTAACAACACAGAAGATTACCTCAATAATCTGTGCCATATTTCACATTAAATTTCTTCTGATACATGGGAACTATCGGCTACAAACTGACTAATAATCGAGTCATTCTTTATTACTAATATTAATATTACTTTAAATAAAAACACAATTGATCACTACAAATAGTCAACAACTTACCACCTTCAATTATACTACAATCTAATTTTAGTTCATTCATGCTATCTGTACAGTGAATTAATGAATTCGAGGAACAATTGGATTCATTGTGTGTGGAACTACTCTTTCCAATTGTCGTCATTGTTGCTGTATAGGGTTCAACATTTCCATCCGTTTTATGAGTATTAATACTATGAGAACCTGATTGATTTGTTGTACTACTATTTAGATTAATATTATCATTATTATTTTGATGAATCAAATTAGAATCTTCCAATGAATTGTCAGCAGTTTTTCCCTTTGTCTTCTCTGCCTCATGAAGATGATGATGATCGTCAACATCATCACCAGGATGATGACGACAACAACAAGAAGTGGAAGACGCAGTAGACGTCAGTTCTTGTTCATTTTGTTTAGCTTCCAAGTTTTGTGATTCCTTCTGGCATCGTTGTGATTTTCTTAATTCATTCAATTGATCTTTTAAAGCTCTACATAATCCACTAAGTTTTTCTACTTGTTTCTTAGCATTCAATGATTCTGACATTTCTTTTTTATGCTGTTCAGCTAATTCCAACAAACTACGTTGACTAACTTCCCATTTACCTTGCCATGCAACTGCTTCACTCTCACTTAATTGAATACGTTTGCCAAGCTGAAAATGAAATATTACAAGAAAGAAAATCTGATTATCACGTAATCTAATTTTAATAGGATTTTCATTTAGATCATGAATTGATCAATTTTAGACCACCACTGAAAACCTGGAAACACTGAACGGCTGTTTCGTTCTACAATAGGACCTCCCATCAGTGTGTGTCCACGATGCCGCACACATGAATCTAACTCAGCACCTAACTCGCGCACGAACGCTTAGTTTCTAGATCATTGAGCTGACACTCAACGATAAAAATGTCTAATTTCAACTAATCCATGATATTGTGCCACCATCTTCCATTGTCTGAGGTGGATAACTGCCTCACACCCGACACGGATTAGCTCCACTGATCACGGATTCTCACTAGAACTCCAGGAGTACCATTTTGAAGCTAATCACTAGTGAGCACATGGTAATTATCAGTATGGAGTTGTGGAGATTGTTGACTTTTTGATTGAGATCATGAATCAATCAATGTTTCCAGTTTTCTAGTAGTGGTCTAACATTGATCGATTCATGATCTCGATGAAAAACTCAGATGACAATATGATTAATTTACACTATATAATTTATGATATAACAGTTTGTATATTCTTCTCGTTGTTGAACATTAAAATTCTGAAAATGACCAGTCTTTTGATCGAAATAACAATATCAAAGCAATGTGCCAAACAAAAGCGTAGGTAAAACAGTTAACAAATGAATTACTTGTTCATGTAATTCCAACGTCCGACTCACTGCCTTCTCTTGGCACCGGTGTTGTTTACGAAATTGAGAGGACGAAAAGTGAATGTCCGGCACTTTAACCGGGTTGGTGGACACGGAAAGTTCACCTAGGTGGGTTGGAAAACCCTGATTCCAAACCAATCGTGCACATGGGCTCCAGTATCCTGAGGAAACAAATGGCGTATGAACCAATATTTGGTCACCGGCTACCATGGGACTGCATCTCCTTACGATGCTCCACTGCCTTGTGGATCAGACCATTAGGTCAAAGGCTCGGGGTGTGGCCCCCTAAGAAAAGCACCT